AGAGGACAGACTATGGTGTCCGGTACGAGCTTTAAAGTGGTACATTGCTCGTACCAAGTCTCTCAGAGGTAATGTTTCCCAACTGTTCATTACTACTACCAGTCCGTATAAGGCTGTCTCGCCAGATACCATTTCTCGATGGATTGTAAGGGCGATACGCTCATCCTTTAGTTCCTGGCCATGCCTGACAGCAGAAGCTCAGGCGGTGAATGCTCACGAGACGAGATCCATGGCCACGTCGTGGGTCTTCCTTAAGGGTGTTCCTCTCAAAGATATTTTACAGGCTGCAGCCTGGAAAACTCCAACTACTTTTATGTCATGCTACCTCAAAGATGTCGAGTCATCTGGAGGCAGAGTCGGCCGTAGTGCTCTGAGTGTACTCCAGCCTTCTATGACAGCCCCCCAGGAGTGATGAGTTGTTTCTATCACTTCACTCTGGGATTTATATTTTTCGGTGAGTTGGCTTCCTTTCTTTCCATCTTGCTTAAAGAAATTCGGAAGAGCGCGAAGGGACGATATTTATCTCTTTTACCAAGGATTTGTTGTTTTATTGTTACCTTGCGCCTCACCCGTTGACCGTTCTCCTTTTTACGGTGCCAGTCTATGCAATTGTAGGTTTAACAGGTAAGGGAGTCCCTGAAGTGGACTCCCCCAAATCAAGGGTGATTTGGGAGTCCGCAAAGGGACGATACTTACCTGTTAAACCTCCCACCCTCCTTCCCCACTTGGGTTCGGCTTTTACTGTGTCTTTTTACCCACACCTCGAGAAAAAGAGGACGAGTTGGCTTAATGGACCGAGTTAGGGACCATGGACGATGGAGGGCGCTATTGCGGTGTGGTAAAAAGAATCTAGCGTGAAAGCCTACGGCTAGATAAATATGCAATTGTAGGTTTAAACAGGTAAGTATCTTCCCTTCGCGGACTCCCAAATCACCCTTGATTTGGGGGAATCCATTTCGATACATGTAACAAGCCGACACTACCACTTCGTCTGTTAGGTCTGGGTACACGGGCGAGAGCATGATGAGGAACCGCCAGTTAGTAGCGCTGTGCTCAGTGTTAAAAGTGTCACGTCACACAAAAGAAAAATGCTGAAACTGCTGTATAACATGTATATCGCTTACAATTATTTTATAAAAAAAAGTATTTTATTTTTTATTATTCTTTAGTTGATATATGTTACAGTAAGAAGGGTTTGTTACATAATTACAAATGATTAAAATAATAACAGATATTTTTACATTTGCTTAATTATGTTTTCTGAGTAGGCGTTTTTACCCCGGGCAAAATCAGGAGTCTCGGGGTAAAAACGCCCAGTTCTTTCCTTGACATCAAACACTTTTGCAGCCTCATTTATCTTCAAAACCTCACTATTACAACTTTCTACAGCCATAGGCCTATATGTTTCTTGTATGAGTAAGTATTAGCTATAAGAGTTCTACCACAAAAATATTGAACAGTGTATTGTGTGAAGTGGGGAGGTACATGTAGGCGGTATCACTAACGGACATTACTTAGTGGTAAGGTATCTGGCATTTGGTAGGGAATGCCCGAGAAATCATGAGATCATGGCATTTTCTCAAGGAAAAAACAAAATAACACCTAGAGCTATGGTGATTTGAACGTACTTTTATTTTTAAGTAAAATGACTAGAAATGGTTCTAAGACCCGACTAGACCGGTTTCTGCTCTCATGCTCTAATAGCAGAGCTTCATCAGTAGTAAGCCAATACCGGTATTTAATATTCAGCTAAAGTCGTGTCAAATGTAGGAGTGCAAACATGTAGATAAGTGCATCTAATACACTTTTGTGTAAACCTTGTAATGAGTCCAATTCCCAGTTATTGATAAACATTGATTTGACAAGTAAACCTTTCAGATTTTTCGCCCTTTTATAGGCAGGAATTGGTTTGCTGGGAAACAGATTGCATAATTTCGGGTGTTCCGAAATTAAATGCCATTCTTTCAGCAATGCTTTAATTAGCTGCTGGGTTTTGATGTGTGGTGTGTAGATTATCTTGAAGACTAGAGGTAGTTCTTTTGGTAGTGTTTCATTCATGATGTATTGCTCACACTCACAGTTTTCAAATTTAATGTCTTTTATGACTGGCAATTTCCTCTTTTTTTTGTGGTTACAGAGTAAGTTTCTCCATGAACGCATTTCCTTTCTCCAAGAAATCTGTCTCGTTGTTACAGAAATGTGCATATCTTAGTAGTTCTCCTTTGATAAAGCCTTAGGTTATCAGCAGTCAGGCCTTGAATTTGGGAATTTTTAGGGCAAGGCCACTTTGGCCTTGAATGGAGCAAAATTATAGAGGGCACCACGGCCAGTCGGGAGGGCACCAAGGCCAAACTAATATCTGCAGAAGGGGCACAGAGGCCGGTTAAAAGAAATGCGCATTTATATTAGCGATCATGTAGTTTAGGGCCCCCCTTTAGTTTCGATCAAATTTGAGCCAAAGGTGTTTTTATCATTCAAAAAAGTACCTTTTCAACCTAAAGCGGACTTCTCTCAGCTTATATTGCACCTGTTTTGTAATTTTGAACACTTTTTGGGGATAGAAATTACGTTTTTTAAAGCAGTTAAAATTATGGTTGGTGACATGCGATCGCCATCTCTATTTTCGTGTTGCGTTTTTTCGTTGTCGTTTTCCCTCCAAATTCCCCTCAAAATTCGAAACCCTTCCCTCTATCTATAACCTACCTGCATGTTCTTAAAGTGGATTAAAAGTTGATTTTGTTCTCTTACGGGAATCAGGCCCATAATTAATACACGATCGCCATTTACAATGTCCGCTTTTGACAATCGGAATTCGGAACGCACGTGCACGCGTGTTTTGACTATGCCCCAAGCTCGTTTGCCTCGTACACGAACATTAATGCGTTCTGTACCGCGCATGCAAGCACTGGGAAAAAGAAAGTCGGTTGACTGCACGTAAGATCTGCCGTACGTACTCCTGCTGGTATGTGTGTGTACGAATACTGACATATATTTTTGCGGCGGGGGTGTCGCTACTTGAAGTATCGGCACATACAGGAACTGGAGATTCAGTTGTCAGTGTACATACGTACATGTACAGAACGTACGTGTGTGTACATCGTACAGTGGGGAATCGACGGCGTATGGCGGGACGGCCACGGCCGTACTGCGCGCGTGTGATTGATTCAGCGAGATATTAAGACAACTGATTGGGCTGGCATGGCATCGAAATACATTGTCAATTTGTGGAAAAACAACTGGAATCAAGAATTGTAGTGGTTTTAATAGGCTGATGCATGTTTTTGCAAAAAGGGCACGGCGGCCAAGGTAATTATGGGGCAAGGCAAAACTGGCCGTGAAGACAGGGATTTTTTGTGGGGCACCTCGGCCAGTAAGAAGGCAACGACGGCACTGGCCGTCGTGGCCGTCGTTCAATTCAAGCCCTGAGCAGTACCGTAGGCTAGAAACATATGCCTAATAACATGGAACTATGCTAGATTTTCAATGTTGGCAGGTATTTTACATGTATGTAACCCTACAAGTTTGTTATGGGCAAATTATGTATGCTAATGTTCCACTTCCTTCAACATAAAAATACCTGTTTCAAATGATCAAGTTTGTAGTTATAATTAACCAGCTGTGTTTGAAAAGTTATTTGTACTTGATGAAGTATCCCTCAATATTAAATTAATTACAAAAATATGACTATACTACAGGGAAACCTGTGGTATAGACATTTCTTTATGTGGGTGGGCGTTTTTACCCCGAGGCCCGGGTAAAAACGCCCACCAAACTTCCTCCCAAAAAGGGGGGCAAATTTCCCCTTATCAATATTATGACCATGATATTATATTTGCGCCTGATAGAGGAGACATGTATTGCATAAAACCACATATTTATTTCCTAGTGTCTCCAAGTTGTACTGAGATATTTAACAAAAACTTAAAAATCAGGCATTTTTTACCCTAGTTTACCCTAAATCAAGTTATTATCATTATCATTATTATTATTTATTCGGCCAAATTACAAAATACAACAAGCAATCCACAAAAATAAACAAAAACAACCCAATCCAAGCTGGCCAGGATTGACAAAAGTATAATAAAACACTGTGACTTGGAAGCCTACAATTCTACATAAATGATAATAAAAGTATGTATGCACATTACATTGGTATCAATGACCAGGGTGGGGGAGCATTACCCATGTCCCTAAAAAGAGAAAATAGGGTGGGTGGCACGTGGCTCATCACGGTAAAGGATCAGTAGAATCCTAATCAAACTTTGTGTTTCTGGTTTAACTTGGAGATTCTACCTCACCATTACAATGTACCTCCATTCAGAATCACGTGAGACTTCAAAGCTTGAGGACAGTAGGCCTATAATGTGTCCACAAGAATGTATTAAATAGTGTGATCAACATTTGAATCAATTTAATTGACTTTAAATAAACTGCTTATCATTGAATTAGCAAACTTTGTCTGTGGGGTTTCTTCCCCAATATTATTAAACCTGGCAAACATGTCTGTGTTTGTATTTCGCATGTATTTCACTTAATCTTGTCAAAAGGTATGATGTTTTCAGATGAAAATTGACAAGTCTTTTGTCTTCATGGTGATGCCATTTTGACAAACCACTGGCATTACCAAGATTTTGGCACATGCGCACAAATTAAGTAGAAGGGATAAACAGATATACGTTTAAAATGCACAACAGCTTAAATAGATTTTCGACTATGGCTCTAACTGCAAGGCTGTGTATTGTGCAGATTAATTAGTTGCCGTTTTATTTTCGAGTTGAACCCAATTCGGTCTAAATAAAAAAACGTTCAGACATCGTTTTAGCAAGAAAATTACACCAAATCGAGTTCAACCAGTGTTTTAAGGGAATTTTAAACGGTGTCTAAATTACTCTTAAGTCCACAAAATGATTTGGTCAGTGATTAGAGGCCTATGTGTTTATAGGTTCAGTGCATGAAACCCCAAAGTTTTATTTTATTCACTGTATATTTTCTTTATACAGAATGCAATGGATGATTCAGAGAAAAGACATAAGCATGCTAAAAGCAGAAAAAAGGACAAAGATGACAGAAGGAAGGAGGGGGCAAGAGAGAAACATTTGAAATACAATCAACCGCAAAAAGCACCTGAGAAAGGTCACAGTAAGTGTACTTTAATACAGTTGTGTTTTGGGATGTGCATTTTTCCCCTGTAAATTACAGATGATTTGTAAAATAAAATTATATCTTTAACAGAAATTGACCAGAGTGAAATTTAAACCTCTGATCTCTGGTACAGTACTCCGGAGGTTGCAGGTGCAAAGAATTTATGCTGATTGGAAAATTTTTGCTAAATCTGGTAAGTCTAGCACCTGTAAGCAGAATATCCAAATCTATGCATATATGGCAAGCAAGATACCGGCATGTTTGCATTCTGATAACCTGTCTTGCAAATCTCAAAGCAAAAGACAAAAAAAAACCCAAAAGGTGATTACATTAAAACAATGTTAATGTTTGCCAAACAAAATTCTCGATTTTGCAGTGTAATAAATCAATTTTTACCTCCAAAATCCTTCCTTTGCCAAGTTGGCCTGCTTGAAGAGAGTGTGTGGAAGTTACCAGATCTTTCTATTTTTTTTAGGGAGTGTTGATTATGATGAAGCTAGAAGTCGGAATAGAGATGACATAAATCATTCAGAGGCAGATAGGCTTAACCAAACAGAAGACAAAGGAAAAAGATCTAAAAAAGATGATTTTATCAAGAAAGAACGAGAAAAGGAAAAAAGAAGACAAATTGAGGTGAGGCTTTTCAAAATGAGTAAATGTACCCAGGTTTGTAGAAACTGGTATTAGCGACCAGATCCCAGTGACTCTGCTATACATACATGTACATGTAATGTCATATTTTCTGCTTATCCAAACTTACTGCCAGTTTCAGTTTTAAAATGTTGCAAAGTAAACTTATGCATGTTTTTATGCTAGGTACAGGGTTCCCATGGTCATTGAAAACCTGGAAAATAGAAATTTGGATATATCAGTTTCCAGACCTGGAAAAGTTATGGAAAAATGTTAAAGTGACAAGTCAGGGAAAAGATATTCTGATATTAATTGCCGTGTAAAGTAGACTTGACTCAAGTCAGAATTGCTTTTAGTCAGTATCTCAAAAAAATAAAAAAATAAAAACAAATTACCAAAAAACTACTTAGGTCTACATCACTCTACTTACCTGTAGAGCGAATACTACTTATTGTTCTCTATGCCGGCAGGCAATTTGCTAAGAGTTTTACACAATAGCGCCCTCACATGTCCTACCAACGACGCCCTGTGACATGCGCACTACGTTAACGTCCTCTTTTTCTCTTAGCCGCAGGCGAGGTATATCGTGAAATTTTGATCGACCCGAATTTCACTGTTTTATTTATGCCTCTTTGCTGGGAGAAACCTATTTATCAGGTATAAAGAGAAAGTGTTTATTGTAGAGTTATCATAGTGAGTTATTCTAAGTGAAGTGAGTTGGAAAAATGAGTAAATCTAGGAAGTTGGGGAGGACTGGGTGTGTCGATAATGGAGGGACGTACATCCCACCAGACAAGACCGAGTTCTCGGGGGACTGCACCGGTGATGGTACGTCACCGCGGCAGCAGTCCCCTAGTCGGCCCCTTCAGCCACTGCCGGCTGTCGGAGCTGACGGACCCGTTGACCAAGCGGGGGGCCGTACAACCCCACCGTCTTCGGTCAATATTCTCGGGTCCGCCCAACTGAAGGGGAAACGCACCGGCAAGACAAAGAAATTGTCTGACGCCGGGGCAGTACCCAAAAAGGGACGTACGGCAAAAGGTGGCCCCGCTACGGGACGCACCGTGCCTGTCCCTGGCACGTCTACGTGCCTGTCCCTGGCCCCTCTACATCGGATTTTATTCGTTGTTCGTGCATCCCCGTGTCCCCGCAATCCTCAACAACTACTCGCAGTCGTTCTTCAAAAAAGAAAAAATCAAAAAAGAGCCGCCGTTCCCACCATTCTTCGACGAGTTCTAGCGAGTCACCCGGCCGATCACACCGTGGGAAACGCCACAAGGGTGGCGACCCGATTTCATGCGATGATTTTTTGGAGGCTTTTCACTCCCTCGCGGCCTCATTGTCGGGCCGACAGGGAGATTACAGTCACAGTTGGCCGACTCCGGGCCAAAGGGACATACCACACACGGTTAGCCGTGCGCCGGAGTCCCATCCAGAATTACAGCCCCCACACGCCAGTCATCACGGCCGTGGTGGGGTGACTACAGACCAGCGGACAATGCCGTGCACGGAGGGCCGTGCACCGGCGTCCCCGCCCGGTATTAGTTTACACCCATCGGTGTCACTAGAGTCCGAGCGGGTCTCGATACCGGGACACCGTGACGGCGCTGCTTTGCCCCCGAGGCCTGGTTCCCATTCCCCGGTGACAACTCGCCCCCCGGACTCTGACAATTCGGCGGACGAGAGCGAACTGACTCGCACCATGCAACGCCTATCGGTGGCTGAGACCGAACTCCGCTTGGTCCAACAGGATATGATCAGAGTTCTGAATCTTCCTGCTGGGACCGAACCTCCTCCTCCTCCTGAGCGTCAGTCATTCAAGAAGAGATTGGGACCGCCGACAGAATCAGTCCGGGCGTTTCCCACAATGCCCCTGGACCGCGTGTGCGTTGACCACATCGACGGGATAATGCACGCAAAGACATGGAGTGCCTACGCTAAGCGCGTAGACTCGTATTATCATTTTCCCCCAGGGGATTTCGAGAAATATTTCTCAACTCCAGTCCTGCCGGACTCGGCCATCGACAAATTCGCCGCTGACCGAGGGACGGCTTCATCCAAAGTTCCTTTTACGGACAAGACCCGTGGAAAACTGGAGGATGTCACCCGTAGAATGGACTCGGCGGCACGCATGGGTATGCGTGCGACGTCCTTTCTTCTTCTCCTATCAGAGTACCTGGCACTGGGATATGAAGAAGATTCGGTGATACCAGCCGACATGATGGTGGCTGCTCTCCATTGCCTCGATCGCGGCCTGTGCTCCACTCTCGACCAGTTTGCTAGAGTGTCGACCTTAGCAACATCGTCACGCCGCGCCAATGTGCTAGATGCGCTTTTCCTCCCGTCACCGGGAGCACGTAAGCGTCTCGACGAACTTCCGCTTTCAGGCCCGGATTTATTTTCTGGTAAGTTCCAGGAGGCCATGGAGGCCGAAGCAAAGCGCCTCAAGGCCACTGAGAAAATTAATCTCAAGAAACCGGCCGAGCTGAAAACTGCGGACAAGACAAAGGAACAACCTTCTTTTGTCATTCCCCGGCGCCGCCCCCCGGTCAGGGCGGCCCGTGGTGGAATTCGTGGGCGCGCCGATAAGACGGTTGGCCCGCGTTATTCACAACCACATACCGGACAACAGCGTCCCCAGTCGGGACGCGGTTTCCGTGCGCCCACTCCCCGGTACACCGGGGCATGGCGCAAGTGACTTAGCGCAAGTGACCTCGACGATTGGCTAGTAGTGGGTCGTTCTCGGGGGGAAACGGAAGCGGCGCTCCAACTAACGTGGCACCTTGTTTCCGACCTTGGATTTCTCATCAGCACCTGAACACCAAGGAATCCCATCCAGTCCCCTCGCAGGTTCCCACCTTTCTAGGTGCATCCCTCGATCTTCGCAGGGGACTGGCCCGTCCATCGGAGGACCGCCTGCTGAACCTTCGGCAGTGCGTGTCCCTCTTCCTCCCGATGGTAGTGGCTCCGGCCCGAGCCTGGCTCAGGCTGTTGGGCCTTATGGCCAGTTTGGTGGACTTGGTGGATTTTTGCAGGTTGAGGATGAGGCCAATTCAACTTCACCTGCTTTCTTTCTACAGACCCCACTGGCACCCGATCGACCATCCGGTGCCCACTACCTCTTGGCTAGTCCCCCACCTTCGTTGGTGGCTAGTCGATGCCAATATAACGCAGGGCCGCGTTTTCCGCCCGCCCCGCCCGTCGGTACTGATCACGACTGACGCGTCAGGGTACGGCTGGGGGGCTACCCTCCACCCGCGACAGGTGGCGGGCGTATGGGGCCCCAAACATCAATCATCCCACATCAACGTCCTGGAAATGCTGACGGTCACCAACGCCCTAAAACATTTTCAGTCAGACGGCAAGCAGTCCTGGTACGATGCGACAACGCCACAGTGGTGGCATACATCAATCACCAGGGGGGCACTCGGTCAGGCCATCTGTGCGCACTAACGTGGGATCTCACCCTCTGGTGCATACATCACGGGATAGCACTGTCGTCAGTCCACATCCCGGGTGAAGAGAACGTCACAGCCGACGCTCTGGTCACTGCTCCCACAGGTGGCTCAGTCGATCTTCCGCCTAATCGACCGGCCGCATGTGGACCTATTCGCGTCGCGAATGAACAATCAGCTACCGATCTACTGCACGAGGGGCCCAGACCCCAATGCGTGGCAGACCGATGCGCTGTCGGTGCGGTGGGACGGCCTACTGGCCTACGCCTTCCCACCCATCTCCCTCGTTTCTCGAGTGCTGACCAAGATCGAGCAGGAGGATTGTCGAATCCTCTTCATAGCCCCGTTCTGGCCTCGCCAGCCTAGGTTTCCCCGGCTTGTCCGACTCTTGGTTCACCGCCCGGTAATTCTACCAAGGAGGGCTGATCTCCTTTATCAGCTTAGCTCGGGAATCAGTCACCAGGCTCTGGGGGATCTTCACCTGACGTGCTGGGTATTGTCACGCGATCCCTCCGCTCAGCAGGCCTTTCGCGACGAGCTGCAACAATTGCAGCCCAGTCCCTTAGAGCCTCAACCAGAAAGGTGTACGATAACCGACTACGCCATTTCTTTAAATGGTGTAGACGGCAATCCATTCATCCCCCCAATACTTCTGTAGGGGAAGTGGGGGATTTCCTCCTATACCTTTTTAACAGTGGGCTCACGACGGCCACGGTCAGAAATTATCGATCGGCCGTTGCCGCGATCCATCAGGGATTTTCGGACGGTTCCTCCGTTTCCAACAACCCTGCAATTAGTCAACTGATCAAGGGGATGTTTAATACTCGTCCCCCATTACGCACATTAATCCCATCTTGGGACCTCTTCAGCGTATTATCTACACTGGCGAAGGCTCCCTTTGAACCAATGAATTGCTCAACTTTGTTACAACTCTCCATCAAAGTAGCTTTTCTATTGGCTGTCGCTACATCCCGACGACGTAGCGAACTACACTCGTTATCGATGCAGACAGGACACATCCGGTGGGAACCGGGGGGTGTCCGCCTGATCCCTACGGCCGGTTTTCTCGCAAAGAACCAGTTGGAGACCTTTACGCCCCCGGACATCTTTGGCCCCCGGACATCTTTGTCACTTCGTACGGGACGCGACAAATTGTTCATCACGACGACCCCGCCCCATGGGCCGGCGTCCCGCGATACAATCACTCGCTGGATCGTGACAGCTATCCGTTCTGTACCGGGCGGCTGGCCAGCGACCCAGGGACCCATTCGAGCGCATGAGGTCAGGGGAGTGTCCACCTCGTGGGCCTTTTTTTAGGGTGTCCCCCTAGGTGACATCGTCAAGGCAGCCTGCTGGAAGAACCCAAACACGTTCTCCGAATGCTACCTGAAGGATGTCCTCCAGGCAGATGGCAAGGCTGAAAGAGAAGTGCTGCTGGCGGCCAGTCGAGCCTCACGGAAGCACTAACGGGTGAGCATATAAATATACATGTATATATTTTTATGGGCATTAAGTTTAATTAGGTGTACCTATCATGTGTTCATCCCCATAATGGTTACACCCCCCTGACTTTTTGCGCACGAGCTCTTTGGGTTCCCCTGACGAGGTGAAGCCTAGAGCGTCTGGGGTGTAGGTTTTGGTTTGGGGTTGTTTGCCTATTGGACACGCCTCATGTCCTACACCCCTGTAGACATACGGTAATTCGCGTATACCCACCGCCTTACTCGGTGCGAGTCTATGCATATGTAGTATTTGCTCTACAGGTAAGTAGAGTGATGTAGACTCCCCTCCCCCCCACACAGTAGTGTGGTTGGGGTCTACGAGCGAATACTTACCTGTAGAGCACCCCTCCCTCCTTCCCCACTATACTCGATTCCTTGAGTGCTTACGCAAGTAGCGCTTGAGAAAAAGAGGACGCTAACGTAGTGCGCATGTCACAGGGTGTCATGGGTAGGACATGTGAGGGCACTATTGTGTAAAACTCTTAGCAAATTGCCTGCCGGTATAGGGAACAATGCATATGTAGTATTCGCTCTACAGGTAAGTATTCGCTCGTAGACCCCAACCACACCATTGTGGGGGGGGGGGGGATTTACATCTTTAACATGCGTTCCACTTCAGTGTCGTATAACAATGCACACTCACTATGTATACAGTATGGGTATTACATGTACATGTGTGTGTACATGTGAAGAGCATACACGTGCATACTTACATGTACATGTGATTCAAAAGTGTTTACCAATAAAGCAGCCATATTGGCCATATTTGCCGCCATATTGGCCGCCATTTTGAATTTGAACATGATAACAAAAAAGATATACCAGAAATGAATTTGTGAGTGCCAAAAACATATAACTAACAATTTTATTTATGATTTTATCATATTATTAGGCTAATATTATTTTTTACCAATATGGCGGCCATATCGGCCGCCAAACTGGCTGCCGTTTTGAATTTGAAGCATGATAGCAAAAAAGATACCAGAAATGAGTTTTTCAGGGTCTAAAACATATAACTAACCATTTTATTTATACTTTTATCATATTATTTTTTACCAATATGGCAGCCATATTGGCCGCCGTTTTGAATTTGAAGTATGATAGCAAAAAAGATCACAGAAATGAGTTTTTCAGGGTCTAAAACATATAACTAACCATTTTATTTATACTACCAATATGGCGGTCGTCAAACTGGCGGCCTTTATGAATTTGAAGCATGATAGCAAAAAAAATACCAGAAATGAGTTTTTCAGGGTCTAAAACATATAACTAACTATTTTATTTATACTTTTATCACATTATTTGGCTGATACAAGTATGTATATGCCTTTTTCCCCCCAGTTTTTACCATTTTCGGCGGCCATTTTGGCGGCCATCTTGGATATCACTAGAGCATCGGATTTTTTTAATGTTAACATCCAAAATGTGTTTTAGGACCCTAAAATGCACCAAAAAAAAAATTGGTGTTGGTTAGTTCTGGGCTGGGGGTGCACGTAGGGTCCCCATACACACTCAAAATAAGTTCTAGGTCAGGCCCTGTTTTGTTGTAAATTGACTGAGTAATAAACACACAATTTTTGGCATTTAATGCAATTACCAAAGGTGCACTTGGACTTTTAAAGGACCCATGTAATGTAATGGTTTTTTAATAAAGTTGTGGTATGCACTTTTTTATCCTTTTTATTTTTTCTTGCAATTTTCATTTTGCCATTTTTAAGTGCATTAAGGTGCCTTTTTATGCTAATATGAATTTGCATATTGATGAGCAAATGTGTGATTTTTTATTCAGCACCAAAAGTTGCTAGAAATTCGGATTTATTGGTGTCAAACATTTTGTTTTTCCTTTGGGGATTTGTTGTTGTTTTCGTAAATGACAGTGCTAACAAATGTTTTCAATGAGCAAATTTTGGGTTCACAATTTGAACAGAAAACCCCTAAACTGAACAGTGTCTTCCTGAAATGACATCACTCCAACAGCACTTTCATTTGTCAGAAAAAGCAAGGAAATGTTTTAAATGTTTGAAGAAGTCCACTTTTCACCAAGATTTAACCAAAAAAGGTTGGCGAATACACGTAGTTTACATGTAAGAGGAGTAAAATGTTGCACAAATTATGTTTTCAAGTAAAATTCATGTCATGGGCCCTTTTAAAAGGTCATACCTTGATTGTTTCATGATAGGATGATGGAGACAATGGAATACAAGTAACTCATTCCTGGACAACTGCTGGCAATGACGGCTATGAAGACGACTTTGAGGTATTGGATTATTTTCCAGATATTAATGCACTGCATATATGTAGGCAAGACCAGTTGACTTTTTCTCAGAGTTTGTGATATCTATAAATTACAATTCACAAAATGTTGCATTATCGTTGTGGATAAGGCCAAAACCTAAAAATGCGACCCTAAAAATTTTATCAGCAAGTAAAAAAAAAATATATAATAGACATAAATGAATTTTAAAAAAAATCCTGTTGTCTTTTCTGTCTTCACAAAACACCTCAACAACACTTTTGCATCAAAAAATGCTTCTATTTACTTGTTTTCCTACTTACATTCGCTATTGTTTTAGAAGAAACCTCCGTAGTTTTTACAAGTTAGCATCGCAATAACTAGTTCGCAATTGTCGATGTCGCGGTGACGATATGAAACACGCATGCGTACTGCAATGCTCATTGCAGCGATGACTGGTTCCTGCCGCGCCGTGCAAGGGCCAATTTAGATGGCATGATGGAAATGCGGTAACCAGTCCATGCATGGCTATGCTGTATCCATGGCAGCGGTGCACTGTCAACTGGTCGGATTAGACATTGTAAAAATGCCAAGAAAACACAGATGGAGAAAGAACATTTTTGCAAGTTAATTTACAGATCTTAATCTCTCTTGTCTGCAGGCACGGATCCATGCTATGCTGTATCCATGGCAGCGGTGCACTGTCAACTGGTCAGATTAGACATTGTAAAAATGCCAAGAAAACGAACATTTTTGCAAGTTAATTTACAGATCTTGATCTCTCTTGTCTGCAGGCACGAATCCAGGGGTGGGCCGCGGGGGCACATGCCCCCAGTCAAATTGAGTCCACAGAAAAAAAGGAGGGGAAAAAGGGGAAAAAGATAGGCGCCGATATTAAACATCGGCCTGCAAACATTGCGTACTGGCCGTATGACACAGCAAGCTCAAGAACCATACCTCAAGAACCCACCGTCCCTACTCCATACGTTGCCTACATATACCACGGATCCTAGACACCAGGATAAACGACTGTTCTGAGCTCTAGTACAAAATGCACTCAATGGACTTGCCTTAATTGGTTAGATGGGTGATAACGGGCATTAATACCTGTTGGCGCGTAATCGCGAATTTTCCAGGTGTGCCATTGTGTTGGGTTTTTGCACAACATCTAATACGGAAATATTCATAAAACTGTAAGTAAAACTACTTCTTATTTTAGATATAATTGTTCCAAATTATTTTAAAAATAAATACTTCAGGATATAACAGATGGTATTGTGCAGTTTTTGTCGTCATAGATGAAGTATTGACCCGGGAAATAAATGTCAAATTTCGAGGAGAACACCGTTTACCCAAATTTCGTTTTAATTACGGGCTTTTATTAAAAAGTTTTAGAGAGATAGGATGCCGAACCGATGAAAGAAAAGTGACATCTCATTGTTCATCTTAAAGCTAAAGATATTGTGCTTGGCACTACCATGGTTATGTAGTTATCACTTATCAGAATTCAATAATAAAGACCAAAAACGTAGACTCATGAATATTCAAAAATATAATTCGCTGGCTTGACAGACTTCGAGGCCAGATCGGGCAAAGAGCCTTGCAAATTTGAAAGCCACCGCGCGCAGTGGTCTTTGTTGAAAAGTATTCATGGTATTTGCCACCAGTACAGGCCGTTATTACGCATCTAACCAGGAGTTGAGCCGAGTCGTTAATCCTTGTGTGTAGGATCCGTGCATAAACTAACATATGTACGATGTATTCTCTACCAAAAGCATGTGCAGCTTATATGCGGTGTATGAAGTGCCACACACACGTTGTGCACTGCTCTTTGGACCTCACCATTGGTCATGGGGTGTGTTTCCGTACAAACCATTTGCCATTTGCCAGCATTTCCACGTGCTTTTAAATTTCAAATTATACTTTACATGGCATCCAAAACATGTCCTTGTTTGAAAATGACTTCTTGAACGTCATCGTATAGTTTTTGTAAAGACCTTATTCGAAAAATGATGTAAAGTCCTGAAACAATATTGAAACACCCCTGAAGACATGGATCCGTCTATAAAACGTCTTTTTTTATGAAGAAAGTTGCGATCCAAAATTTGGGTTTTGACGTTACACGCATTACTGAAAATACAAATCTGATAAGTTTGGCACTTAAAGGGGATCAGTTTGTTTTTAGGACAAAAAGAATCAGCAGTTATTACCAAAAGGCAAGTTTAGTACTCGATTGAGACATGCTCTGGCAAGCTAAACGGAGGGTGGTGTTGCTTACCCAAGTGCAAGCGGGAAAAAATGATCGTGGTTCGCCGGTGGCTTCGGGGGCTGGCTTCCATGTCGGGCACGGGCTGGGCACGCTGGGATAGGTATACCCCAATTCCCGATATCTGTTTCTCAATGTCATCATCTACAACTATTTCCTGTAAGTTTTTACATAACCAAATGACGAATCCACCTTAAAATTGTGTCGTACCGTGAGGGAATTGCAATCATGGCGAACTACGATGATTGTTTTATGCAATTTGTCTTGCTGCGCTGCCGATGTGCCGATGCTTTATTTACAATACACATGTACACGTAGGCCTACAGGCCCTTTTCTTGAAATTGAAATTGGACTAAATTAAAACCAAGAACATTTCTTTAAAATTACATAGAGCAAAAAAAAAGGAGAAACTTTGAGGACTGCATGAATTAATTTAGTCATGAAATAACACTGCCGAGCTGTGAAGTTACAATGAGGATGGAGGCCTGTTTTACTTTTAGCTTGATTAAATTCAATTTACATGTTCAAGCAGTTTGTTCTTATTGATAAACTGAAAGTTGCAACTTGAACACTGAGGTTTGACAAGACTACATGAAGATATCTGGAGACAAAGTAAATGCACGCAACTTTTGGGTATAATAGTAGCCATTTTGGATCGTTACCATGGCCTCATAAGGGCAATTCAACAGTAACGGAAGGACGTTTTCACTCATTATACAAAATTTCAAATGTGTGTATCACAGACACTGTTATTAGTTACATCAAACAAGTGTCACAATAATTATGCCGTAATGCTACCTTCAATTTCCACACTTATTGGGGGCATGAATACCTCTCGTTCATGAATTATGAATATTAATGAGGTTGCTAACGGAAGGACGGTAAAACGGACAAGGGTTTTCCAACTTACATGTGTTTTGCATAAACTCTGTGAATTTTATGGGGCAATTACATTTTAAAGGTAGGAAATGGAATCCCTGAAGCTTTAACTATACTATGCCACCTTTCATTTGAATTTAAGTGTTTCGGTAATATAATTACAGCGTCTTAAGTGGATTGTAATCTGGTGATGGAAGGACAGTAACGGAAGGACAAAAGGTTTACTCAATCATAGCATGAACAAAATGTGAATTTACACTAATTATACAAGTAAAACAAATTGCTGAAATGTGTAACTGAATGTGAAATCAACAATATGCAGACCTGGCATAAATAATTATACCCAAGAAACTATTGAGATAAAGATAGGTGCCTTCTAATTAATTATAATAAATGAAAAATGAAAACAACCAAAAACACATAATTCACGAACACAAGACTACTACAGAAATAGACTTCAAACCCATCACCTCAATCCTTAAAAGTTAAAATACACAGTATTTGAACACTTGAGTATATTGGTTACATGTTCACCAACAACTTTTAATAATAAGTTCAGTGTTTTACCTACATGTACATGTAAAGGGTTGGGGGGGGGGCCTACCAGCCTACATTTTAGTTCAAAACATCTACCAGTAGACCTGATTGCATCCGAATGATTATGCTTCAAAAACATTTCAAATTTTAGATGTTGCTTTTAATTGAACTCTAAATTCAATGTTTGAAATCAAATTATAACAATTTAGAGTACCGGTAGTAACAATAATTAACTTATAAACATCCAAACTGAGGTTGTTAACTGTGGCATAATTTGTAAAAAATTGCACCTCACATGTCTTACACATGTAAATTGTATGAAAGTGCCCAATAGTACTTCCTGCCATCTCATTTTTGACTTATTTTGCTTGTGGAATGGCTTCACAGAAATTTTATCTTTCCTTATTGTCCAAATTGAATGGCGATGGCAGCAACTTTATGATTTGATTTTCTGCTTTATGATTTGGGTACATATACATACATACATGTACCGTATATATGTACATTGCACATGTTGTACATGCCTATGCCATCCTTTGTAATGAACACCTTGCTCTGCTTATACCACCTTTGTGAAGGTGGGTCACATAAATGTTCTTTTAATGCTCATTATACAAGCATGTATTTGCAGTGATTTTCATTTTTCAACAGGAGCACAAATGTTGTAACATTTGATGAAAATAACATTTGTGCTTCCGTTACCGTCCTTCCGTTACCAATTTGGTAACGGAAGAACGTGATTTAATTAATTGTAATTAAAAAACGAGAAGTACAGAAGTGTCAGTTATAATGTCATATTGAAGGCCTATCTAAACTTGCTTTACATAATAACTTTCATTGCATTCTGATTCAAACTACAAGTTTCTAAAATAAATTTAAAATATGTATTTTTTTCTGTAACGGAAGGATGTTTTTGAAGGCTGAAATATTAGAAGTCACCGAAGCGAAACAAATTACGCAAAACGTAAAAAAAAAGTTGCAGTCAGCTTTTCAAGACCTATACTTTCTCATGACAGAAATTGATGGCGTAAGTACACATTGTTGTGTATGTAATGGTAGAATACTTTCATGTCACTGTTAACCACATTTTTAGGATTAAAACAGGATTATTACATAATCCTATTTTTGGGTACCAAAATGTATCAAAAATACAATGCCGACTCCAAATCTTAAAAATATAGGCTTTTAGCTTTCATTTGACACCAAATTTGCTTAAGTCACATTCATTTGAGTTTTTTGGTGTCATGTCCACTTTGGTGTGGAATTGTCTACAATTAGTCACTTATATGATTTAGAAAATGTTATTGAAGTAAGGATGTGCAAGTAGAATCAACAAAATAAAATTTTCAAAAAATAAAAAGTACATAATATACCCAAATATGGGGGCAAATATATTACACGGCAGGTTCTGACGATTTATGCAAATTAGGTATATTTGGGTCAAAATTAACGATGGCATTCACCCACATTTTGTTTGTTATGGTTCAAAGAATTGATCTAGCATGGATGCCAGCTATTGCCAAAATGTCGTGAAATTATTTTCTAGAGAACTTTTCCACATTTGGCTGGCCTACTAATATTCTTGTTGGTCTCTTTTATGCAATGACCAAGTTCAGATGGAAGAATTTTGGGGTTTATAAACACTGACATTTAGTTGGAAAATTGAGTTGGAACTATGGAAGCAGTGGGGTTATCAGCTGGAGTCTGATGAGACCAGAGTTTGATGCTCTGATCTTTTGTGCATCGTTGATCTTTGTCTTTTGAACTTTTGTACAGAAAATACTTATTTCCGTGAAGTGTTTTGCTGCGGTGAAATACTTGTGATTCAACAGGAGGACTTTCCTCGCCGACTCCCTCTTTGATGGTGAAGCTTTGCATGAGGCAGAGATTTAAGAATAAAACACCTCCCATCTCATATTCTTGACCAACTTCCTTCTTGACATTATTTTGGGAGTCTTTTGCGTCATCCACTCTATTGACCCCGAACAATCAGTTTCTTATTCAGTTCGTTAAAACTTGTTAGACCGCTACCAGATCAAAATGCAGATCATTTCCAGATCGTGGCGAGATCATTACATCAGGCCTTTTTACACTTTTTCCGTTTCGAACCATGTTGAAACCAACCCAGTTCATCCCGAGTTGTTTTTGACATGGATTGGAGAGACACAATGTTCACACTTTCTTCACACGAACCGGCTGCTGCATGAACCATGTAACGTTCAATCCGGATAGGGCCACTGTGTATTCACACTACGAATCTCAACACGGATCGCATTCGGCATGGCACGCTGTGATGATTTTCTCGATCCCATAATGCATTCCGATGCACGTGTACGAGGCCTGTTAACCTGCAGGTGTACAGCTTGAATTTACTACTCGGTGAAATACAAACTCATTGGTAGTATTGTGCATGCCCAAGTATGATAATTAGGAAGACTGGTCACGTGAGAGGGTTTGACCAATTATAGAGTGAAGGAATCCGATTTACATGGGCGTCTGATTTTTGATTATGAGACCAGTTGTGCAACATACCAGTTCCAAAATGGCTCCGCACATTTCATTTGTACTATTTAATGTTAGAAATTCTTTTGCACATTTTGTAATACAAGCCCAGACTCGTCAAAGGATGCTCCATGCTCGGAGACGTTTTTGGATGATAATGAAGAAGATATTGGCTTGTGATTGACTGGTGTTTGTAATGGTAATGATGGGTATAGTGGCGGGAAATATGCACGGTGTGTCACACTTTCGGTAGAATGTCTCGCCTCAACTCAACACGGATCTGCCGCGAGTGAACTCAACTCGGAGCGGTTCACACCATCATTCTCAACACGGCTCAGGCCGAAAATTGCGATTTTGATCTGGTTGAGATTTTGATTTTGATCCGGCTAGAGCATGCCAAGGGGGTCGGAACTGGGTTGACATTCTAGAAGTGGGAGAGGGTTGGAAAAAATCTCGGTGGTGGAACCTGTTCCAACCCGGAGATTTTGGACAGTGTGACAAGGCCTATACCGGTAAATGCGGCACTGAGCTGGTCTTGACGCATGGCTTCTACCGCTAGCACTGAGCTGGTCCGACAAAATTCTATTTAAGACAACACTGAGCTGGTCTGACAAAAACCTACAGAGAGCACTGAGCTGGTCTGACAAAAACCTACAGAGAGCACTGAGCTTGTGCCACCCTCGGCTGCTACATATAGCACTGACCTGGTCTGGCTCATGGCTTCTACAGACAGCACTGAGTTGGTCTGATGAAAGCTGCCTACAGAGAGCCAGACGTGGTTCTAGAGCCTATTTTTTTGGGGGGGGGGGGGCTTGCAGGGTGGATCCAGAAATTGTTTCAGGGAGGCGTGCTGAAATGTAGAACGGTTATTTTCTCAGGACACTTAGGCCTTCGAAAATCAATCGGGGGTTGGGGGGGGGCCTCGTGCCGCCATATTTTCAATGGGGAGCGCTGATAAAATCCTACAATCAGGCACACTATATTAAATAAAAGTGTACAAATGCACCATTCTCACGACTATTCATTTAGGGGGAGACTGTTCGCATGTACGTCACATTCTTACATTTTGCTAGTGCAAGTTTTATTTTTTATTGTTTTTTTTTTTGGGGGGGGGCGGCTACACAAAATGTTTTGGCCTAGCCCCGCCCCCCAAAAACTGACCCCTTTTTTTTTTTGGCTGAAAGGAATATGAAGATGATTTTGAAGAATTACCCAGCAATTCGGAATTTGAAGACAATCAGTTGGTAAGTCCAATAAAAACAAATACTTTTTAACCATTGGCAAACAAACTTTTTGTGTCACAGATATCCGCTTTTGCTGTCGTTTACACAACCTAAGTTGAAAATAGATAAGACAAACAGAATTCTAAGATTGATCTATTTGACTGATTATGATTCACTTCTTTGTTTTTGTATTTCTTTATGCATTTGTTTATGCTTACTGACTTGAATTCTTGTTTAAAATTTGAAGGACCTCACTGAAGTGGAAGCACTGAGGATTGCAATGAAAAAGGAGAATGAAGCCACCTCCCGATACAGCAGTGACGTTGTGAGTATAATGTACCCAATCGTGATCAAAGGGCTTATCAGGGATTGACATTGAGGGAGATGTAATAAATGGAGACAACCTACTCTTCACATTAGTAATTACAAATAAAAATGCCACTCAAATTTATTTGTATTTCCCAAAGTGATTCTTTTACTCTCCAAGGTTATTTTTTTTTCATATGGGCTCAATTACACCCTCAACAGTTACACAGTGAGAGTTAGGGGAGACCCCTAAAGGATATAGTCAGGTGGCTTAGACCCAATTTTTTACAAGATCATTACCGACTGGTCCAAAGCACCAAACTTGTCAGATAGATTCTTTTAGCCCCAGAGAAGATATTTAGAAGGGTGACACCTGAAATTCTTTTGGGAAGGGTGCCTAATTTGCGTAAATACCTGCCGTCTAATATATTTGTTCACTTAGTCTACTTCACTCACTTTACCTGTAGAGCCACTACATTTGCATATTTCCCTTACTGACAAGTTCCATTTGCTAAGAGTTTATACAACAGCGCCCTCTATAATGCTACCCACACTGCCCTACGCCATGAGCGCCATGTTGGCTTCCTCTTTTCTCTTAGCGGCAGGACAGATAAGACATGTTTTACAGTACCTCCGATAATTGAGTACTGCATCTTTATCTGTATTCCTATTTTCGTCAAGTAAAAGATAAGTAAGCATAGAACACCTTGTTGTGTTGTGTAACTATTTTTTGTGAAGTGATAGTTAATAAATAAGGAAAGAATAATGTGGCTTCAAAAGTTGGCCAGAATTAGTCTTCTGTGCATGGCTCGGTAAACAATGACGTTTGCCGTCCCGCCAGACTGGAGACCCTGCAGGTGGGGCAGAGCACGTTAAAGATTTGCCTACCCTGACTGATGCAGTGGGAACTGAACAAAAAGAGGGAAAACAGGGCGGCAAAGGTGGTAAGACCGAGGGCAAATCCCAAGCCGCTACCGTTGTTCGTCCCCAGCACAAAAAACGGGGAAAACGGTCTCATGTGCAGATTGTAGAACCCGTCGTATACGGTTTCTGTGCTTTCTGGTCGCAGGTCGGCAGCTCCATGTGTGAGCATGGCGAAAAAAAAGAGAAAAAAAAAGGCTAGCGAAATATTGGAAGCTCTTATTTAATAACCCATTCCGCATCCACACTTGATACTCTAACTGACCAGTATAACTCTGCACTTGTTAATCTGATTGACCATCATGCACCCTTAAGGACATGCACAGTGGTTTGATCGTCCTGTTGTCCCATGGTACAGTGACGACATCGCTAAGGCAAAACGTCACCGCTGTCAATTAGAAAGGAAATGGCGGAAGACCAAGTGTGTTATCGATCATGACAATTTGAAAGCACAACGAGACGTGGTAAAACACATGTTTTCGGAAGCCAAATACAGCTATTATCTCAACAAAATTAATAGCTGTGATGGAAACCAAAAGGAACTTTTCAATATAACAAATCATCTCATGCATAAGAGCTCATCTCCCAAGTTTCCAACCAACTTGTCTCCTGTGGAACTTGCCAACTACTTCTCAACTCACTTTGTTGAGAAAATAAATAATATCAGAGATGATATACATGCATTCTCCACACCTAACCCCACTCTGATAGATACTCCCCATCCCTCGGGCCAATCTCCTCCCACAGCATTCCATCCTCTCACGATAGTTGAAGTAGTGAAAATCATCAAGAGCTCACCACCAAAATCATGCCCACTGGACCTTCTTCCAACATCTCTAGTCAACAACTGTTTTGATTCACTAGAAGAGCCAATAACTCAGATAATGGACATGTCGCTAGAAAGTGGCCTGTTCCCTAGTTCCTCCAAGACTGCTATGATCACTCCTGTCATCAAAAAAGGAACCATGGACTGCAACGACATAAACAATTATCACCCGATTTCTAACCTGTCTTTTGTGTCGAAGGAAGTTGAAAAGGCTGTAGCAGGCAGGTTAAACGCATATTTGTTGAAGCACAATCTGCACGAAGCCAGACAATCGGCCTACAGAAGGTCCCAAAGTGTTGAAACGGCACTTGTGAAAGTCCATAATGATATAATGTGTGCTGTCGATGGCAAAAAGGCTGTGTTACTTGTCCTTCTTGACCTCTCGGCTGCCTTCGACACGATCGATCATGATCTATTAATCCAAAGATTGAGGAATAAGTTTGGAGTAACAGGTTTAGCTCTAAGCTGGTTCCAATCATATCTTAAGGATCGTCATCAGATCGTACATGTACTTGGACACACGTCAGCAGAGACTGGAGCTCCTCATGGAGTTTCCCAGGGCTCTGTCCTCGGTCCAGTACTTTTCACTCTTACACCTCCCCACTAGGAGAAATTGCTCAACAACATGACGTTTAATCACACTTTTATGCTGATGACACACAGTTATACACCACATTCTGTCCAAAAACCAACACTGACTACCAAAATGCCCTTCATTCACTATCTTCTTGCCTACACGATGTTCAGAATTGGATGGGTGCAAATTTTCTAATTGGATGGGTGCAAATTTTCTAAAATTCAACCCCAACGAAACGAAATTTCTCGTTATCTCCTCTCCACAACTCGGGCATAAAATTGAAATACATAACGTACAGGTCGGGGATACTCTGATTGCACCCAGTCCGCATGCACGCAACCTGAGTGTTTTGTTCGACCAGCATATGAATTTGGACATCTCCAACATTTGCAAGACATCATACATGTACCTATGGCGCATTGCTGCAATTAGGCGGATGCTAACAACTCAGGCAGCAGAACAACTCATACATGCATTCATCACTTCTAGACTCGATTTCTGTATTGGTCTACTATACGGTCTTTCTCATAACACACTCAATCGCTTACAGTTGGAACAGAATGCTGCTGCATGTTTGCCTACTGGTCAAAAGTAATCAGCTCAAATCACCCCCATACTGTACAGACTTAACTGGCTGCCGGTCAAACACAATACAATACAAGATCATTCTCTTCACATTCAAAGCCCTTCACGGTTCTGCCCCATCCTACGTACACAGCCTACTACAGCTTGGTACTGTCAGACCGGGCTTGAGGTCATCTGGCAGTCTCCTTTCAATTCCCCAATCTCATCTTGCCAGATATGGTGACAGAGCCTTTTCAAATGTTGCACCTCGGCTTTGGAACTGTTTGCCACTTGAAATCAGAGACGCAGAAAACATCACATCTTTCACGCAGAAACTCAAAACACATCTCTTTATGCTGGCTTTTCCCAATAATTGAGCGTTTGGCATGATGGCCTCTGGAATTTACTCAGAAGCTTCAATGTCGAAGAAGCTCTTGTACAAGTCATCCAGGCCCTCTATAAACACTCCAGCTGTGCAGTTCTTCTGAACAACCAAATGGGAGAATTCTTCCAGACAACCATTGGTGTCAGACAGGGGTGTTCACTCTCCCCCGTTCTCTTCAATATATTTCTGGAAAGAATCATGCAGATGACCCTCCATGACCATCGCACCTCCATCTCCATCGGTGGCAGGCCCGTCTGCAATCTTCGTTTTGCAGACTACATAGACCTGATGGGGGGCAGCAACAACGAACTGCAAGACCTGACGAACAGACTGGTTGCAAGCGCCAACGCGTACGGCATCGAAGTCAGCACAGAGAAATCCAAGGTTATGGTGAACAGCTTGGACAACACCAGTGCTAACATCACCATCAACGGTGAACTGTTAAAAGAAGTGTCCAGCTTCAAATACTTGGGAGCGACCCTGTCAAAGGATGGCACCTGCAAAGCAGAAATCCGTACCCGAATTGCAATAGCCACTGCAGCAATGGCCAAATCAGCTGTCCCACCAAGTACAGGCTCTTCAAATCTCTGGTACTCTCCACCCTACTGTATGGGTGCGCAAGGGCGGATCCAGGGGGGGGCCAAAGGGGGCCATGGCCCCCCCCCCAAAAACGAAACCAATTTTTTTTTTTTTTATGTGACATTGCAAAAAAAAGGCAGGCAATGAGTACACCACCATCTTACCTCAAAAAAACATTGGTTAAAGTGGTCAGAAATCGCCTCAGATCGCACCACAGAGGATCTAGAATCCAAAATTTTTTTGGGGCCCTTAAGCGGGCCCCGAACCCCACGCCGTAATTGTTTTGACCCACTTTTTTGGGGGACCAAAACATTTTTTGGCCCCCCAAAAATTGTGTCCTGGATCCGCCCTTGTGGGTGCGAGGCATGGACACTGCTGGCTGAGTCAGAAAGACGAATTCAGGCATTCGAAACGAAATGCCTGAGGAAGTTGCTCCGCAATGAGTTTGTGAGGAACAAGGCAAAGAGTCTTGTTGGTCCCCAGGAACCTCTTCTTGCCACCATGAAGCGACGGAAGCTTAAGTGGTTTGGCCACGTCACGCGGCATAACAGTCTTTGCAAGACTATCATGCAGGGCACTGTCGAGGGAGGACAAAGGCGAGGACGACAACGGAAGAGCTGGGTAGACAATGTCAAGGAATGGACAAACATGAACATGTCAGAACTCCTAGTGGAGGCCGCTGACAGAACAGCATGGAGGAGGACTTTAGTTTCTTCTGCCCTCGGGTCCCCCCCAACGACGGCAACAGTCAAGGGAAACATGACATGACTAAATTTGAAACCCCTCAACCATGTCAACAAATTTATTCGCCCAAAACCGTTTCGTATGGAAACGTTGCGGGTAGTGCTAGACTCCATTCCATTCCACTCATGGGCAGCATCACTGTATCTACAGGACGCATACCTTCACGTACCGGTACATCCAAATCATTACGAGTTTACAGTTCTTCCCTTCGGGTTGTCCACATCCCCACGAGTATTTACGAGAGTAGTGAAGGCAATAGCGGCAGCACTTCGCAGGCAGGGGATCACCGTGTTTATGTACCTGGAGGACTGGCTTATAGTAGGCCAGTCGAGGACGGACACGCAAACAGCGGTACAGTTAACCCTGAGTCTGGCTACAGACCTTGGGTTTATAATCAACGAGAAAAAGTCGCATCCAATCCCA